TTAAAAAATACAGTATTTTTAAAGTTAAAATAAGATTAAACTAACGAAAACCAAAAGCAAAGTGATGGAGAGATAGGACGCACTTGTATATTTATGACGTAATACACGTAACTGAGGAGAGAACGAAAAGAACCGAGTCGAATTAATTAAGTCGGAAAAAAGAAACTGTGCATTATAATCGAGAAAATGCGAGTATTGTATTAATCTCTAAAATAAAATACAATACTGTACCAATATAGCCCTATCGTTGAAAAAATTCGCTTATTTTTGCTCACCTCGAGTTTTGCTTAGTAGAAATGGCTAAAAAGTACGCAAAATACGTACGGAAATACGTTATTATATGATTATCTGTATTGGACGACCACCTGTCTAAAAGACCACTTTTTGAAGGAACCGTGGGTGGTCGCCATAGACAGGTTTTACTGTACTAGTGTTGCGACAAAAGAGGTATTTGACATTGACCGGTATCGGCACTCTGGGGATTTGGCAGTCCGCGTGTATGTGCGCTCTGCAACCGTCTACGATTCCATCCATTAGCCACTGGGAGCTAGGCAGAATTCTAGGACAAATGTAGCAAATTGAGACTGGAATCGAGCTGTAGAGCATATTCGTACAATTGAAGAATATTTTGTACCAGGCATGTACCGGTACATCCACCACACATTTTTTTTCACCAAGTAAGTTTTTATTATTTTATTTTTAATTGTAGCTCTTATATTGTGGCTAGCGATTCGGAATGTAATTGTGATATTAAAAATACATTTAGAAAAGTCTATGGTTTTTACTGGCCTATCGAATAAACGATACGAATGGACCCTAGACCAGGGGTCGGCAACCTTTTGAGTCGGAAGAGCCAAAATTACAATTTACAAAATTTCAAAGTTTTTAAAGAGCCACAAAATTTTTTCTTGCCAACAATAAATAGTACTCGCATAAATAAAGTTTTTTGATAAAAAAAACTAATCTATTTATTCATAAGAAAAAATATCCATTTATTCATATATAAGTAGTGTTTTTCACAACAAATTAAATAATAGAAACATCCGACGACGGCGTCATTCGAGAGCTTCCGACGGATTGACGACAGTGACGACGCGTGTCACGGGGGAGGGGTGCGGTGAAAAGCGAGTACAAGTGGCCGAGAGATAGAATCAGTACCTAATCCTCGTTAATCGATTCAGAACGATTTTTAAATGTTTTTTTTTGATAAAATAAATAATATTTGCGTATGGAACTAAAGAGCCGCAGG